TCCTCAGTAGACAGTTCATAAACATTTGTTGAACTGAGTTAAACTTAAATTCAGAAAATACTGTGTGTCACGGTGCAGTTAAACAAATATTTACCTTAACTGGGGGGCCCGTTAGGCATTGAGTGCATGGTGTGCTGGGCTGTCCCTCTCTTTTTGGCCCCTGCTGCCCTTCCCATCATCATCAACTCAGCCTCCACATGATGGGGAGGTTACTCCCTCCTGTCCCATCCCAGCCCCACTCAACTGGGAACCTGTGCTACTGACCCCACCTTGGCCTGGCATCCATCCAACCCTCCAGTGGCCGCTCCCCATAGCCCCTGCTTCCTTGTTCTCCAGAGCTGCGCCCCTGCTGCAGGTCTCCCCTTCGCTGTCCCCAAGCCCCTGCCTTCCACCCACACTGCCCACTCCTTCCCACCGTCCTCGCCTCAGTCCTTAAGGAGTCCTCAAAAGCTCTTCTTGCCCCAGAACCTCCCATAACCCCTCAGTGCTCAGGAGCAGATCCTTGCTTTGACTGTTTATGGCACTGCCTGTTCCAACACATTTGCATGGAAGAGTATGCACTATTTTTAAATTAACTTTATTGAGGCTAATTTATATGCAATAAATGTCACCGATTGAAGGGTACAGTTCAACAGGTCTTGACAAGCGCACACAGCCATGTGCCACCCCCACAATCAGGACAGAGGACATTTCTGCCCCCACAAAAGCCCCTTGTGCCGCCCAGCCCCAGCCAATCCCTTCTTCCCGTCCCGATGACAATCCCTGATTTCATTCCTGCCACTGTTATTTTGCCTTTTCTAGAAATTTTAGGGATGGAATGATGCAGTGCGTGGTCTCTTCTGTCTGGATTTGTTACCAAGCGAAGGTTTTGAGTCACCCCCATTGGAGCATGCATTAGTCGCCCGTTCCTTTTCATGGTTGAGTAGTATATTCTATTGTATGGATACACTTCAACTTGGTTATCTGCTCACCAGTTGACAGACATTTGGGTCTTTTTCAGTTTGGAACGGTTAAGAATAAACCTGTTGGGAATGTTCCAGTGTTAATCCTCCCATGTCTCTTGGGTAGACATGTAGGAGTTGGTTGCAGGTTCCTATGGTGGATGCATGTTCAGCTGTGCAAGAAAGGACTCCGCTGTCTCCTTGGAGTGGCTGTGTGATCTTGCGGTCCCACTAACAAAATGTGAGAGCCCCGGATGCACCATGTCCTCTCCCAGCTTCCTGCCCCCTGTTTAATCGCAGCCCTTCCAGTAGGTGTGAAATGGGATCTCTCTGTCTCTCTCTCTCTCTCTCTCTGTATGTGTGTGTGTGTGTGTGTGTATGTGTTTCAGACGGAGTCTCTCTCTGTCACCCAGGCTGGACTGCAGTGGTGTGATCTCAGCTCACTGCAACCTCCGCCTCCTGGGTTCAAGTGACTCTCCTGCCTCAGCCTCCTGAGTAGCTGGGATTACAGGTGCATGCCATCATGCCTGGCTAATTTTTGTATTTTTAGTAAAGACGGGGTTTCACCATGTTGGCCAGACTGGTCTCGAACTCCTGGACTTAAGTGGTCCATCTACCTCGGCCTCCCAAATTGCTGGGATTACAGGCCTGAGCCACTGCGCCCAGCCTTCATTGTGGTTTTAATTTGCATTTTCCTTATGATTAATGGCATTGAGCATCTTTTTTGTGTGTGTATTTTTTGTGTGTGTCCATGTATTTTCTTTGGTGAATTGCCTGTTCACATTTCCCCCTGTTTCTTATTGACTTGTTTATGTTTTTGATAGGGAGTTGTAAAAATTATTTGTATATTCTGGATATAACCTATTATCAGATATAAGCTTTAAAATACTGTTTTGTATTCAATATATATATTTTTCATTTTCTTGAGTGCCTTTCAAAGAGCAGAAGGTTTACATTTTGTACAATCTAGTACAATTTATCAATGTTTTTACAGTTTATTCTTTTTGCAATTTACATAAGAAATTTCTTTTTCGAGGGTCACAAAGATTTTCTCCCGTTTTTCCTTCTAGATATTTTATGCTTTAGCACTCACATTTAGATTTATAACTCATTTGAGTTACCTTTTGCAAATGGTGTGAGGTGAGCAGTAAGGATCAACTTTTTGTTCATGTCATTCCAGGACCAGTTATTGAAGACTGTTCTTTTCCCATGGAGTTACCTTGGCACCTAAGTTAAAAATCAGTCTGCCATCTATATGTGGGTCTATGTCTGGACTCTGTTCTGTTCCACCGATTTATGTATCTGTCCTTTCAGAAATCCAACACTGTCACACTTAGTGTAGCTTCCTTGTCAGCTTTGAGATTGCGTAGTGTGAGTCCTCCAATTTTTTTATCTTTTTCAAAATTGTTTTTGCTATTTTAATTTCCTTGAATTTCTATATACATTTTGGAATTGGCTTGTCAATTTCTTAAAAAAAAACCCTACCATAATTTTGATTTAGTTTATGTTGTATCTACAGATCGATTTGGGGAGAAATGATATCTTGAAATTGAATCATGGATAAATTTGAACATGAAATCATTTCATTTGAACATGAAATGAGTCATTGAAAATTGAACATGATAAATTTCTCCATTAATTTAGGTCTTATTCAATTTCTCCCAACAATGTTTTGTAGTTTTTAGCATATAAATCTCACATAAATTTTGTTAGATCTATCCATAACTATTTTACATTTTACGATACAATTATATAATTGTTGATACTATCATGTACATTATATATGATATATGTGTATATATATAGTTTTAACATCCAAATGCTAATTCCAATTGGTGTATTTTATTTTGCATATTGTATATTTCACCTCCCAAGCCCTCCACCCCTGCCATGCTCTGCAGCTTAGAAAGAGCGTGTATCATTTCTCACTGTATTTGTTTTCCTCCTGCCGGGAGCCATAATCTCGTGATGCCTAGTGCCAAGGTCTGAAAATTGTTGTTACATTTTGCAGGTTTTTCTGGTTGTTTAGTGCAGCAGGGTGCCTTTGGTCTCTGTTAATCCACTGTGGCTGGAAGCTGAAGTTTAGCAGTGGTGTTCTGATTGCTGTGCTTCTTCGGATTGATATGATTCCCTCTTCACGTGCTTTTGCAACACAGGGGTCTATATTATGCTTCTTCTGCATACTCTAAAGCACTCAGCTGTATACCTGCTGGGATTACAAAAGTGCAGAGGTGACTCCATGCCTTCCTCCAGCTTTTTAGGTTCAAAGCAGTGACTGAGGGGCAGTGAAGAATTGATCTCTGAGTTGTGACTCCAGGCATCAGGGAAGGAATGGGGTGGAGTAAACAGCGAAATGAGAATCAAAATTATGGAAGAAATAGGTTTGGAAAATAATTTAGGGTGAACTTTGTGTTACGTGGGCTTCCTCTCCAAAAGGTCAGTATCCATGTGGACTCGTAAGTGAGGACTGATATGGCACAGTGTGGGGGGCGAGGAGGGGAGTTCTACCTTCTCTGCCTGTGCACCTTGGGCTGCGCTTCCCTAGCTGCTCCCGCTTGGTGTGGCCAGGCCCACGTGGTGGGAGAGCAGGGAAAAGAGGAGGAAGATGGGCGATGGGCCGGGAAGCACATCCAACATTAATATCAGAGCATTTCAGGCCATGGATGTTACTGGAGGGCGTCCGGGGGTGTTAATAAACAGGACGAGGGACAATGCTGGAAAGGAGGAGTGCACCTGAGAATAGCGAAGAGTTTTTCTTTCTTTTTAAATTTGCTTCAAATGGTGGATTTCAAAGCCCTTCATCCTCAGGCCCTCCACAACTGCTCCAGCTCTTGCTGGTCTCCTGCTAAACTTCTTCAGCCTGGACCCATGCACGGCCACTGCTGGCATTGCCGGCACGTGGCATACTCCATATGGACCCACGCACGGCCACTGCTGGCATTGCCGGCACGTGGCATACTCCATATGGACCCACGCACGGCCACTGCTGGCATTGCTGGCACGTGGCATACTCCATGTGGACCCATGCACGACCACTGCTGGCATTGCTGGCACGTGGCATACTCCATATGGACTCACGCACCGCCACTGTTGGTGTTCCCAGCACATCGTATACTCCATTGTTTCCTAACAATCCAGTTGATTCGGCCAGGCTAGTTGCTCAGCTGTTTCACAAACATAAAGGGCTCATGACTCAGGACTGCTCTTCGGTCTGAGATGAGCTGGTCACCTGAAGGAGATGGCCCTTCTCTGTCAATCACTGGCCCACAGCCTCGCCATTCTCCAAGGACCCTGATTGGAGCCTCCTCCTCCAGGAAACCTTTCCTAACTGTGCCAGCCTCCACCTTTCCTCTGGCACTTGGATTTCTGATGATTAGGATGCCTCTGCCACAGCAGTCTCATGCTTGTGACCTGGAATGTCTACTGGAAAGGTCTGTGGCTGTGGAGAAGCAGGTGCATTCCTCTCCAGCGCCTTCCCAGGCTGGAGCAGCTTGTTCAGTGTGTCTTGAGAATGGCACTCATAGTCAAACTTTAAATTCTACTGGAGATTCTCACATGCCCATGGGGGGGCACATCACTGACGTATATTGTGAACGATTGAAAGCCAAGGACTATGAATTCTACATTTTCTATGCACATTCACACTTCTATTTGTTGAATGTTTTTAAATTTTGCATAAAGATTTTTGTGTAGATCAAACTTGTGGATTTCTGAGAGCACCTTATTTAAACTATAGATAAAGGGTTGGCAAATTATAGCCTCTAGCCAACCGAGCTAGGCGAGGCCTGTTCAGTTATGTAATCGTAGATGCTTTCAAGCTCCAAAGGCAGATTTGAGGAGCTTGAGACTGAGACCATATGGCCTGCAAAGCCTAAAATATGTACTCTCTGGTCCTTTACAGAAAGAGGTTGTTGATGCCTATTCTCAATAAATATTTGTATGTAAAATAGTGTGCTGTGCACTCTGTTCACATGAGATGGAATGCTGGTCACTTAAGTGTCTGGCTCTCCAGGGATACCTGTGTTAACTGTAGTGCCTTCTGCCTTCTTTCCTTCCTAGAGTCACTTCCACTTTCCTGCTACCACTGCCTGTGAGCTGAAGGGGCTGAACCATACCCTCCTTTTGCTACATCCAGCCTGCATTTTTTTGCCCACAATGAGCGGGGTAAGATTTTAATTTTTGGCAAGGAGTATAATTTGGGTTCTTTGTGGCTGCTTGAACATTGCACTGCCACTAACTCTGTCTTTGTTTCCTTTCCAGGAATCAATGAATTTCAGCGATGTTTTCGACTCCAGTGAAGATTATTTTGTGTCAGTCAATACTTCCTATTACACAGTTGATTCTGAAATGTTACTGTGCACCTTGCACGAGGTCAGGCAGTTCTCCAGACTGTTTGTACCGATTGCCTACTCCTTGATCTGTGTCTTTGGCCTCCTGGGGAATATTCTGGTGGTGATCACTTTTGCTTTTTATAAGAAGGCCAGGTCTATGACAGACGTCTATCTCTTGAACATGGCCATTGCAGACATCCTCTTTGTTCTTACTCTCCCATTCTGGGCAGTGAGTCACGCCACCGGTGCGTGGGTTTTCAGCAATGCCATGTGCAAGTTGATGAAAGGCATCTATGCCATCAACTTTAACTGCGGGATGCTGCTCCTGACTTGCATTAGCATGGACCGGTACATCGCCATCGTACAGGCAACGAAGTCATTCCGGCTCCGATACAGAACTCTGCTGCGCAGCAAAGTCATCTGCCTTATTGTGTGGGGAGTGTCAGTCATCATCTCCAGCTCAACTTTTATCTTCAACCAGAAATACAACACCCAAGGCAGCGATGTCTGTGAGCCCAAGTACCAGACCGTCTCGGAGCCCATCAAGTGGAAGCTGCTGATGTTGGGGATTGAGCTACTCTTCGGTTTCTTTATCCCTTTGATGTTCATGATATTTTGTTACATGTTCATTGTCAAAACCTTGGTGCAAGCTCAGAATTCTAAAAGGCACAAAGCCATCCGTGTAATCATAGCCGTGGTGCTTGTGTTTCTGGCTTGTCAGATTCCTCATAACATGGTCCTGCTTGTGACGGCTGCAAATTTGGGTAACATGAACCGATCCTGCCACAGCGAAAAGCTACTTGGCTATACGAAAACTGTCACAGAAGTCCTAGCTTTCCTGCACTGCTGCCTGAACCCTGTGCTCTATGCTTTTATTGGGCAGAAGTTCAGAAACTACTTTCTGAAGATCATGAAGGACCTGTGGTGTGTGAGAAGGAAGTACAAGTCCTCGGGCTTCTCCTGTGCCGGGAGGTACTCAGAAAACATTTCCCGGCAGACCAGTGAGACCGCAGATAACGACAATGCGTCGTCCTTCACTATGTGATGGGAAGCTGAGTCTCCCTAAGGCATGTGTGAAACATACTCATAGATGTTATGCAAAAAAAAGTCTATGGCCAAATATGCATGGAAAATGTGGGAATTAAGCAAAATCAAGCAAGCGTCTCTCTTGCAGAACTTAATGTGCTCATGGCTGTGTGATCTCTTCAGGGTGGGGTGGTCTCTGATAGGCAGCAGCTTCCAGCACACTTTACAAGGAATGTTTTGTAGCTCTGGGGTATATATCTGCCCGGGCGTTTCACAAAACGGCCTTTGGGAAATGCTGAATTAAAGTGAATTGTTGACAAATGTAAACATTTTCAGAAATACTCAAGAAGCGGTCACAGATCACAGTGTCTTTTGGTTACAACACGAAATGATGGCATGGTTTGAAAAACTAAAACAGAAAAAAACAAACGGAAGCCCACACATCGCTCATTTTAGGCAAATGTTTAAACGTTTTATCTCTCAGAATGTTTATTGTTGCTGGTTATAAGCAGCAGGATTGGCCGGCTGGTGTTTTCTCATTTCCCTTTGACACGGGCAACAATCTGACCCTGTAAAACGGAGGCGGAAAGACAAGCTCAAATGTTCACAACCTGGAAGCGCTTCAGGAAGATGGGGACAATGGCAGAACAAGTGTTGGTGACAATCGTCACCAACTGGATAAAGCAGCTCAGGTTGTAGAGGGCCATTAGGGAAGTGTCAGTTTGCTTTTATTTCCCTGGGAGCTGTTCTCTGTCATGAGTGACTCTTTTCTCAATGTCCGTTAGGCTGAGAGTGCTACGAAGACAGGAGCTAGAATCATCTTGCTCACGGCTGTCCTCTGAGTGCCTAGAGGGGTTCCAGCAAACAAAATGGACTCAACAGAGATTTGATCAATGAATTGTAATGAAGTTGGGATTTATTGTACAGTTTAAAATGTTAGATGTTTTTAATTTTTTAAATAAATAGAAATTTTTTTTTTTTTTTTTTTTTAAAGAAAGCAACTGTACTGAGACAATGTAGAAAGAAGTTTTGTTCCATTTCTTTAATGTGGTTGAAGAGTAATGTGTGGCTGAAGACTTTTGTTATAAGGAGCTGCAGATTAGCCAGGGGACAGCTGGAATTATGCTGGCTTCTGATAATGATTTTAAAGGGGTCTGAAGTTTGTGATAGAATCAGATTTTAACAATTCTCTTCAATGACATAGAAAATTCATGGAACTCATGTTTTTAAAGGGCTATGTAAATATATGAACATTAGAAAAGTATCAACTTGTGTTACAAAAATACAAACACGTGTTAGGAAGGTACTGTCATGGGCTAGGCATGGTGGCTCATGCCTGTAATCCCGGCATTTTGGGAAGCTAAGACAGGCAGATCACTTGAGGTCAGGAGTTCAAGACCAGCCTGGCCAACATGATGAAATCCCCTCTCTACTACAAATACAAAAACTTGCTAGGTGTGGTGGTGGGTGCCTAAATCCCAGCTACTTGGGAGGCTGAGGCAGGAGAATTGCTTGAACCCAGGAGGCAGAGGTTGCAGTGAGCTGAGATTGTGCCTTTGTCCTCCAGCCTGGGTGACAGAGCGAGGTTCCGTCCCAAAAAAAAAGGAAAATAAATACTGTCATGAATTACAAAAATACCGACTTGTTTAAACCTGACAATGATGTTATTTGAAACTTTATATTGTTCTCATAAGCTTTAACTATATCTCTCTTTAAAATGCAAAATAATGTCTTAAGATTCAAAGTCTGTATTTTTAAAGTATGGTTTTGGCTTTGCAAAATAAAAAATGCGTTCTGTACATGAAGTAGGAATCTTCTTTCAGCTTCAAGGTTCAGAGTGAGGGGCCCACTGTCCAGAGACAGTGGTATTCAGGCTTTCTCATGTCCTTCAAATCTGTTAGTGTTTAACTCTAGAAAGCAAAGCAGAGGAGTTGTTACCCAGACACTTCCTTCGGTGTGATCAATGCACTGATGTGATCTAAGAAGATGATTCATGCTTGAAAACTGGCACAGAAACATCTTGCTTATTTGCCAAAACTGGGAAATGACCTTCTCTGCATAATTTAAATGTTCAGATAAATGAAACTGACTTCTTTAAGAATAACTTTTTAAACATTTTAGCTATGATGTATAAAAATGTTTCTAAAATATACCACATACTGTATTTCTTCTTAAATATAGTACATTAGGTAACATCATTTTTCTTGCTGTCTTGGGCATCAGAACAGGTGCCATGGTAACTTGACACTCTTAGGAGACATTAAGATAGAAGGGGCTGTTCTTCAGTGGTTCCCATTGATTCTCCCCATATCGTTTCATTTTCAGGCTCTGACCGTCTCTTCCTGAACCTTAACTGTCTGCCGTTAGTCCTCCTCTCCACTCATTGCAAACATTATTCTATATGTTTGGTGGGGAATTTAGCTCTCTGCGCTTGTCAGAATTGTCTGTTAATAGTGGCAATGTGTTAGAACCTCCCAGTATTCAATTATTTCTAGATACGTGAGATCTTACTATATGTAAATCTCAACATTTAGGTTCTTAAGTATTACCTTGCAAATTGTACATGATTTGCTTCTAAGGACAGACAGACTGGATTTTAAATGAGGCCAGGAAAACACAGTATTTTCAAATCCTTTTAAGACTTGTGGTAATGTGTGCAAATGACAGGCATTCTGGAGATATATGTACAGAGAATGTGGTCTCCATGAATGTAGTATATATGCTAAAGTACGCTAGAACATTGGTTTGCTGGGGCTGCCCTGACAAAATACCACAGACTGAGTGGCTTGAACAGCACATTTATGTCTCACATTTTTAGAGGCTGGTTAAGGTGTTGGCAGGGTTGGTTTCTCCTGAGGCCTCAAATGGCTTTTCCTCTGTGAGCTGAAACTTCTTATAAGGACACTAGTCAGATTGGATTATAGCCCACCCAAAAGGCCCTTTTCAACTTAATCACTGGTCTAAAATGCTTGTCTGTAAATATCATCACTTTCTGAGATACCGAGGGTTAGGACTTTGACATATGAATTTTAACGGGACACCATTTGGCCCCTAACATCTATTTCCCTGAAGGTAGGGCATATTTTCCTATTAAAGTTAACCTAGACACATGAGAATTTCTTTCTACATAGTTTCCTCCTTTCCAATAAGTTATGTTCCAAACATTCATTCCCATTTCGGCTTTTCAGGTGCAGATCTCACAAAGATACAGCAGAGAAGGGCTGTGGTCCCTGGTGAGACAACACCTGCCTTTCTAACCTGCACAGCCTTGAGCTCCAGCACCACCCATGCACAGCCTTGAGCTCCAGCACCCACCCGTGCACAGCCTTGAGCTCCAGCACCCACCCGTGCACAGCCTTGAGCTCCAGCACCCACCCGTGCACAGCCTTGAGCTCCAGCACCCACCCGTGCACAGCCTTGAGCTCCAGCACCCATCCGTGCACAGCCTTGAGCTCCAGCACCCACCCGTGCACAGCCTTGAGCTCCAGCACCCACCCGTGGTGCAAGTTTCAGTATCTGATCCCAGTGGTTCACCTCCTGCCTTGGTCCCTGCCCTGAGGGGTAGCATCTCCTCCCCTCCCAGTTCTCTGGCAGGGAAGTGGGGAATTTCCCCAAGTCTAAGTGGCCTCCATATTCAAAGCAGAGACATCCCCCTCTCAAGGACCTGAGAATGGTGATCTCAGCTGTGACAGCAGAAAGCAGCTGTGATAGTCCAGGGGGGGGCCAGGCCCTGTTGTGCCCCCTATTTGTATAAACAGAGCATTCAAGACTCATGACTTCAGGGGGGCTCTCTCTTGTCTTAATCTCATTCTTGGGGCACATTCTTCTGTAGGACACAGAAGGAGATGGCATTTTACTTTTACCATTAGACAATTTGAGTCATTGCAGCCTCACAGAGCACAGCTGCCCTAATGCATTCTACATTCTGCTGGCTGCTCTGTGGAGAACCCGACGTGTTCATGGTCTTTGTGCTCAGGGATTTCACGGAATAAAGAGGCTGCAGCATTCGGATGAAGGCCACCCTCGCTCTGGCGTGTTTGCAGAGCTTGGGGTGGTCTGCATGCTACATTCTGCTGGCTGCTCTGAGAACCTGACGCACTCACAATCTTGTGATTTCACAGAATAAAGAGGCTACAGCATTTGGACGCAGGCCCCTCACTCTGGTGTGTTTGTGGAGCTCAGGGTGGTCTGTTGTGACCTGATTTCATGCTTATGACTCAGTATGCACAGCTGCAATCTTCTTCCTTGCACTGCATTTGCCAATAGATGATATTCCTGATGCCTTATTTAAGTAAATTCATATAAGAGCGAAGGCAGGAATGATGATGATATTCCTGTGCCTTATTTAGGTAAATCCATATAAGAGAGAAGGCAGGAATGATTTATATTTTCTACTTCTTGGCTGATTCCTCTCTCGAGTCCAGGTGGACAGCCGGGGATGATGGGCAGAGTACTGTTCTCCTTACCTCAAGGCTGTCCTCAGCCCAAGGGAGCTGCGGTACCTCCTTCCAGCCCATTTCCATTCTAGGCAACAAGAAGCAGGATGGGGGAAGCAGGTGGCCTTAAAGACACAACTGGAGAGCTGTGGAAGTCATTTCTGCTCCCAGCGTGGGAGCCTTCACTTAGTCACGTGGTTACACCCCGGTGAATGAAAGTCTGGGACGCTCTTTAGCGGGTGGTCATGTGTCCACGTGCACTCAGTAATCACAAACACACCTTGTATGAAGGGCAAGAGATACTGAGAAAAGCAGTTTCATGGAGGGGAGGCAGCCGGACTCCTCTCTTTAACCAGAGGGGAGGGCCTGCCTCTCCACAGCGGTAGATGAGTGGTAGCCGAGGCAGCCTACGAGGCCAAGGCCGTTCAGGAGTTATGGCTGGCCCTGTGCAACGAGGCTGGGGTCACCTGGGATGCGCCCTGTACACAGGAGCCTTTTCTCCTGTAGCCCACTAATAATTACCACAGTGCCCACGGCCGGTCCATCTAAATGTTCAGAATACTGTATTTAGAATTAGTGTTAACATTTGAATAAGGTTTCATTTTCCTGCCTAACATTGAAAGAACTGGATTCTTGGATTTCACATGACATTTTGGGGCCCCTTTTCTGAACCTAGAATGTAAACAGATGAGCTAGCACTTCACACCAGTGGGGAGCAAATGTGATTCCTAAAGTTCTGGCTTTACCAGGAGCCGAGCTCCTGAACCGGCCGGGAGTGCCCCTGCCCTGGACGGGGCACTGCTGCCCTCTGGTGCACGAGCCGCCTCCCAGTGCCTGCACCTTTTCCTGGAGACACTCACCTTCCTTAGTGGGGAAACTCTACAGTTTATTTTGGATAACAAGTATGTGAAATTAATAGAATCTTATACTAACTTTTTGCACCCGTGGCGAAAAATCTTCAGAAAAATATCCCTGCACTATTGCTCCTGTTCATTTTTTTTCTTTGTTGCTTTTAACATTCGCAATAGTAGATTGGCTCTTTCCTTTTTATTTTATTTTATTTTATATGTTTTTGCTATGTGAACATATACGTAGCAGAATAAATATATATTTATTCCTGTGTAAATCAGGAAATACAGTCTCTTTGTATTTTTATGGCAGATAATGCAGAATGACTTTTAGGATATTAAGTTAATAAAAAGAAGATATATAAAATGATGTGATCTCTACTCACCAAGACTTCATTATACAAGTCCAAAATTAAGGAGAAAGGTGAATAATCATTCCAGGCAACCTCTCTTTTCCAGCTTGGTGAATCCTGGCACATAGGACTGTTTTCCTCTGATTGTGCACTAGGACGGCAGAGGAGTGCGTGTGGCCCTGGGCGAGCTGGCTTTCATGGTTGTCCTTGCTGTCTTTGGGCCCCCAGGCGTCTGGGTGGGGCGGGAGAGGTGGTTCTGCCTGGAGGCAGCCTCTCCTTAGGAAAAGCCTTCTCAGGACCCCTCTTTCTCTAGTCCTCCGCAGACCTGACTTGACTCTGTCTCACACGAATGCATCAGAGGCCGTGGCCAGGGGTGCCCTCTGAGAACCAGCACCCTGGCCCTGGCCCTCAGCCTCCTGGGCCTCCTCACTCACGTTTCTCCAGGGAACGTGACAGAGACAATGTGGCTGCGTGGCGGGGCTGGGGGTGCAACCAGGGAAGTATTCGTGACCTGAGATCTCTCCTATCAGCTGTTTGCTCGGCTCGCCGCTCACTCTAACCAGCTACAGAGCATCTGTTTTGCGGCGTGGACAGCTGCCCATCACCCTTGCCTCCTGGGCCCATGGCTGAGCCACCTTGCCCAGCCCCTGGGGACTCTGTGGGGCGTGGAACTGAGGTCTGGCCGGCGATGCTTGAACACAGGTGAAATGCATCATTTCCAGGTCTGGTGCCCAAAACCACTCACGGGTGTGCCTGCTGGCTTTCTCCTGATGGCCGGAGGGAGCAGGCCCAGGAGATCTTGGAAGCAGCTGCTGGAAACAGCAGAACCTGAATACACTGACCCTCCACGTGCCTGGTGCTCCTGTGTGAGCAAGAAATGAACTTCTGTTGGGTTTGAGTCAACCTACATTGAATTTTGTTTCATGATTTACTCATCTGAGGCATGGGCCATCGTT